GTGTGTGTGTGTGTGTGTGTGTGTGTGTGTGGCACTGAGCAGGACTTTGATAAGCACAAGAGCATGGAGTACAAGCCCCAGAAGAAGGCATTCTTCAAGCTGAAGGACTGCATTGAGTTGTTCACCACAAAAGAAAAACTGGGAGCAGAGGACCCGTGGTGAGAAACACATGCCGCACTTTCAAAATAAAAGTTACAAGCAACTGGCAACACCAGTGACCTGTCGAATGTTGCATTATGACGCTTTTCTTACACCATGTCCACCCTCGCAGGTACTGTCCAAACTGTAAGCAGCACCAACAAGCCACAAAGAAGCTGGACCTGTGGTCTCTGCCGCCAGTGCTGGTGGTCCATCTGAAACGCTTCTCCTACAGTCGCTACATGAGGGACAAACTGGACTCCCTTGTTGACTTTCCACTGAGGTGATGATGCTTTTATCACGTGGCAGACGCAAAAATGAAAAAACAAAAAGAAAACAAATATCTCCCAGTGAAAAAGCGGAAACACACACGTAGAAGACACGAAAACCGACACCAGTCTCTCAGTGTTAAGAAAATCTCCTGATCTCTGCAGCAGAGTTAATAGTTCACTTCCTGCCTCTGCCTGCTGCACCCGACTGCTCCACCTCTTGCCTGAATAATGCGAAGGATTTGTTGCTGTTGTGAACGCGTCTGTGCAGTGAAGCTCCCACTGTGTTTTGCATATGTGAAAGGCAAACTGCAGGTAAACTCCGTAGCAAATTCTCCAGATTTTACCCGCAGGTCTTGTCTGAAAACGGCGTGAGAGTTGTCTCCGGACCGCGCTGTGGGCTGCGGTGACCTCACGCCGGTACGTAACATTCTCCGAGCAGGCAGAGCCAGTCGTGAACACCAGTGGTGCAGCAGTAACGGGAGGGGGTGCATTTGTTTTCAAGTATCAACAGTCGTTCCTCAGAATTACTCACCCTTGAAGAAGAGCCATATTTATTGCGTTGCATTGAATCACAACTCATATCGTACTGTGTAGCATTCAGGATGAATTTATCAGTGGTTATTAGTAGTTTCTACATATGTTTCTATAATGTATTGGATGGTGCTGGACATTTATATAATTCTTTGCTATATTTGCTGTTAATCCTTTTTATAAAAAAGTTATTTGTTATGCACATGACAACTTTTCTACATTTTTCCTTTAGAGATCTGGACATGTCTGAGTTCCTGATCAACCCCAACGCTGGGCCGTGTCGCTACGACCTCATCGCTGTGTCCAACCACTACGGCGGAATGGGAGGAGGCCACTGTAAGATTCACACTTTATCACAGAGTCACTGAAACACCTTCTTTCAAATTTTCTCACAGTGTGTCTCACAGATGTGTTTCTATTTACCTTAGCAATTTAAAAGCTGCTCTTATTGTTGACTTTTGTTTTTTGGCACTGTTTGGACATGGGTTCCATTTTTAAAATATAGTATCAGAAAAAAACAACCCTCATTGTTTGTGGTATTTGTAGCATCTAGGTTTGAATTAGTACTTATTACTCACCACTGACTTCACAGCTGGAGTACTCTGTTTGTTTTTATGACTTCATTTGTGTCGAGTTTGTCTTGTTCTGTTGTAATAGAAGCCAACTGTGTGCCTGTGTTAATGGATACACTTTTCAGAGTTTGTGTGTCACATTGACAACTGTCCCTGAATGGAGTTTTGAAATAGAACACGGCATGAGTGTGTGAAATTATCAGCACTTCAAAACATCCTAAAACAGTGTGAATATATAAAAGTACAGTTATGAAGAGGAAACTGTGTTTAACAGTATTGTCATGTGTTTAATATTGTACTGTATTCTTGTTCCTTCTCAGACACTGCTTATGCGAAGAACAAAGACGACGGAAAGTGGTACAACTTCGATGACAGCAGCGTGTCTCCTGCCAATGAAGATCAAATAGTGGTAAGTGTCCTCATTTTGTAAAGCCAGGCAGCCGTCCCACTGTACGTTCATCAAACACTCATTCACTGGACACAAACCAGAACATTTCATTTCATCAAAGTAATGTACTTCTGATCCTGTGACGAATTGGGATGAATTATTATTATCTCAAAGATTTCCAACTGCGCTCAAATTCTCAATAAGCACCAATAGGTTTCCGAGGACACTGATTTCAGAGGTCACAGCTATTTTGTTGCTCTTACTTATAGTTCACATGAACAGTAATTGGCAGGTTTACTCAAGTCAGAGATTTTAAGCAGTAAATCCAGACTCAAAGAAATTCTCAGTCAGATGTGTTGACAGTGGAGAAAGTTTGGAAGCTCGTTACTACGGTGGTCCTGAGGGTCAAAAGACAACATTAGGGGAAAAAAGACAGTACAGTATTTTGAAAAAAAGACAACATCATCATACTTAGGCTTAATTGGATTTAATAGTTTTAAAGTGTTTTAAAATTGGAACTCAACATGAAAACAGTCACAGTCTTCATATTTGATCATCATCTTCTGCAAGTCAGTATAGCTGAGTAATTTTTGTGCATGTGTTTCTGTGTGTGTTTCTAGTCCAAAGCAGGCTACGTGCTGTTCTACCAGCGGCAGGACACAGTGAAAGGCACAGGCTACTTCGCTCTTGATCGCGAGGAGGACGAGGAGGAGGAAGAGGAGGGAGAGGAGGAGGAGAACGATAACGAGGACGAGGAGAGAAGGGAAAAGAAGAAGACGGCCTCCTCCACTCAGGCCGCCTCGTCCGCAACTGCTGCCGCTGCTCAGAACGATGAGGAGGACCTGAACGAGAACAGGCGCAGGAAGAACGACAACGAGCAGCAGGAGGACGAGGAGGAGGAAGACGAGGAGGAAGACGAGGAGGAGGAGGAACAGACGCCCACACGAGATGTCGCCATGAAAACCAACTGAAGTGGATGCAGAAGATGCGGATAAATGGAGAGAGAAACTGGGATCTTTCCATCCAAAGCCATATGGACAACACAGCATGGCAGCGGGCGCCACCAGTCCCACCCAGCGGCTCGGACTCGGCCGCTCCACAGGCGGAAGCCACTGCGGTGAAGACGCCTTTTTAGGTCAGGGAGCTGCCGCGGTACACAAATCTACTATCTAAGAAATCAGGGCCCTCCTCTGTGGTTGTATCACGGTGTGTGTGTGTGTGCGTGTGTTTGTGTGTGTCGCCACGTCCATTTGTTTAGGATTTGCTCACTGAACGACACCAGGGACTGAATTATTTTTTGAGGCTTCACAGTACGTTAGTGTAGCACTTTGAATCTTCCTCTGCTTTTTGTGTTCTATTTTAATTTTATATATTTTTGAGAGCAATGCATTGTTTGCATATCATTTTTAGTATCATTCAGATATTTTGTAAATATTTTAAACACTGAACCATTTTTGAACTTGCACAATCACCAACCATCCACTTTGGGGTTTTTTTTTTTTATGTATTATTGCCACACACACTGCAGATGTTGAACAGTGAGGTCGTCTCTTCAAGGTATTTCTCACATACAAAGCTTAGGAAGCTGCCTTTAGTGATTCAGCAGTGAGACGCATCTGCAGTCTAGACTTAAAGGTCCAGTGTGTGAGAATTAGATGAAAGGTCAGAAGTTGAATATATGTCTTTGACAGTAGCTCAGACAGGACGAACTAAACACCTGTTGAGTTTTTATGACAACTGAAGCCTACCACAGGTTCATGTTGTGAAGGGGAGGGTGAGGTGAGGGGTATTCAGCTGCAACATGAAACTTTAACACTAGATGTCACTAAATTCTACACACTGAACCTTTAACATAGAGAAGTGACGTGTGGTTTTAAAGTGTCACACAGCCAAACTGTCCGAGCTTTGTGCTACTGCTGCTGCTGCTGCTTCTATGATCTCGCTTTTTTAGTATTTAGTAAACTGGCACCAAACTTAGTGATTTAAGGTCTTGCTTGTGCTATCAATCTTGGCTCCTCCGATAATTTATTTCTTAAATCACAAAAAACAGAAGGATTAGTATATTGTCCAGCTAGCTTTGCAGAATAACCAAACTGATTCTATTTTTGAAATGTTTTAGAATTTCCTGGTGTTCAAATTTCTGTCTTAATGAACTCGGCAATTGCAACAGAGACCCTGTTCCGGTATTAACATCTGTCCTCAGTCAGCGCTAACACTTGTCTGTAACCATAAATTGACTAGTTTGTCTTCACCGACACACGACAGAAAATCAACCAAACACAGACCAACACAATCATTTCTATTTCCATTTATTTCAAATGAATGAAATCTATCTTCATAGTAGATCTGTGCAGAGCTCTTTGATTCATTCAGCCCCTCCTGACTCCGCTCCATCTATCAACTCATACTGGGCTAAAACAAGAGATGACCACTCGTGATCAAATCTCTCAGGACGGATGTTAATACCAGGTCTGAACGGGGCCTGATGTTTGTTGTCAGGGTTACCCGGCAGACACAAATCGTCCCGTCAACTCTCCCTATGTAACTTTGTAGGTGGTGTTTAATGCTTTAACGTGGCTCTGCACTCTTTTCTCTTCTTCATATTGGAGGCGCTGTGAGATTGGGAACATGGGTGATTTTGCCGACATCAGATGCATCATCTCTTGTTTGGATCACCTCGGCCTTAACTCTTAATCTCAGACCAGTCGCCTTTTCTTTGCACATCACTGTCACACCGTCTCCATTACACCGCACACATCAACGCTTCAGTACGAATGTCCACATTTGCTTGTTATATCGCAGCCACGGCATCTCAGTTATTGTTTTTACACCCACAAGAGGGCCAGAATGTATGCTGAATGGAATGAACACTGACCAGATGTATGTGGTTGATGCCTTTTGATTCTTTATAGGGCCAGGTCTGTTTTTTTTTTTCTTTTTTTCTTTGTTTTCATGGCTCCCTTTCTTGGTTTGGTTGAATGGGATGGTAATGGCTTTCCTCACCTTTGATACTCGCTGTATGAATTCATGGGTACTGCTGAATGCGTCCCCTTCCAGAAGGGCGGGGAGAAGACAAATGCTTCTTCGTGGCCTGAGCTTTGAGGATGGGTGAGGGAGAGGGGAGATAATCTGAGCGCTGTGGGGGTGAGTCTGCCCGAAAGACCAATCAGCTTTTTCGGGATCATGATACAGTGAAAATATTTTGTGGCAGCTTGTTGCAGGATATTCCTCCATCGATGTAACCCTATTCTCCATGGTGGAGTGTTTGTTTTCTTTTTCTACCTGTTCTTTCCATTGTAAACAGCATTAGCGTACCTGTTGTCGCCTCAGAATATTACAAGCGTACCATGCCTTTACCAGCGTCTCCGTGCTTCACCGCAACGCCACTGCCTTGCCTTTCGGGGCGACTCACCCCTTCCTGACTGAGTGAGATGTGATTGCTACTATAGGCTTATACAATACTGTACATAAGAGTTCACTCTGTGAGTGCACATTTGATAAAGTTTATTTATTTATATGTAAGCATTTAATAATAAACAGACAATATATTTAAAACCTTGGCAAGAACTGAAGTGTCGGGTGGGCGGGGGAAATGTGGCTTCAGTCCTCACAAACATGCCAGTTTGCAAAGTCTTGCCTGCGCTCTTGTCAGGGAGGGAATATTTTTAAGAAAAAAAGGATGGTTCTGTTGTTTTGGGACTTTTTTTGTAAAAAAAAATAAGATAAAATAATCAAGACATCCTTGCATGATGACATAACGAGGGTTTCCAGGTTTGGCTGCACTTGAGTTCACTTGGGTTTACATTTGAAATGTGCATGTGTATTTATACACAATCTTCAATAAAGTTGTGTAAAGCTTCTTGTGCATTCTGTGGTGTGTATGTTATGTTTCATTGTTCATAAATAATGGAGGATACATCGGTGATGATCGGTGTCAAAGCTGTTGTGTAGTTTGTGCTCATCATCATCATCATCATCATGAGAAGCAGCCCACATTTCACTGGTAATAATATAAATAATAAAAAATGAAAAGCTATAAATCTTCTCAACTATATGTTTTATTTTTCAGGAACGTAAATTAGTTTTGTAGTTTGATCAGACAAAAGAGCAGAAACATAAGGGGAAAGCCAAACGGAGTAAATGCAAGGAAGTTGTGATCATTTTTGCATCACAACTTGACATCCTTTATATTTGATCTCCAGTATTTTCATTGACAGCATTAATCACCTATTATTATCCAATATGTGTCGTTATGCTATGTGCTGTAAAATCAGTTTTGAGCGCCTGAATTTTAGAGAGAAATTTTAGAGTTGTAGTATTTATGAACTCTTTGCTTAAAAATCATAAAGATCTCCTGATGCCATCCTTCCTCCTCGGCCATACCATGTTGTGCAGCCTCTGAACATCCCCATCGTATTAAAAGAACAGATAACCCTGCTTGTTTGGAAAGTTTATCCGAGGACATAAAAGAAGGCTTGTTCAACTCACTCCACAGACTGAAGGTTCACTGCCCTGCCCCCCACTGACTGCTACAGAGCGCTGGTCACCTGTTTATTAAATCTGTATTCATATTCAATGTGTCACGTGTCCAAATAGCACCCAACTCACTTCACTTCCTTAGGCAATTTACAATAAACTTGCCAAGTGTGAAGTCGATTAGATGAACGGTTTACAAAATATACGTTCCACATACAGACAGATGTTTGTAGAATTAGTGGGTTATAATGGACAGGTGTAAGAAAAAGATTGTAACTGTTAAATGAGCAGAGAATGGAGATTCACAAAATTCAGCTGTAATAGTTATAATTAAAAACAGTACAGTTACAACAAGATATAAAACATGAGATGAGAGAGCAAATCATTCCATACTGTAAATTGAAATCTGAGGTGTCTAGTATTCATCATGAAACGGATACTCTGGATGATCTGCCCACCTGTTGAGTAAATGGAGAGAAACATAGATTATTTCTTTATTAGAGGAGCAGAGCATCAGTCTCGCAGTGTGCATCGCACTCACATGAGGAGCTCCACGAAACGAATATCCTTGTTCAACCCCTCAATTGCCTTCATCTCAGCCTCCGTCAGAGAGAAATCAAATATCTGCAGAGTTTCAAAAGACATCGATCACAACACGCTTCGTATTTTCTTCTCTGATATTCCAAGATTTATGTTTTGGTGGGCCACACGAGCAAACCTGAAAGTTCTCCTTTATGCGAACAGTGTTGAAGCTCTTCGGGATGACCACCACTCCTCGCTGCACGTTGAATCTCAGGGCCACCTGGGCTGTGGTCTTGTTGTACTTTTTGGCAACCGATACCAGCAGCTCATCTTCCAACAGTGGCGGGCACTTAAGGTTCACCCTGTTGGAAAGACCGGTATTTTACTCAAGACACAACAAAATGCTCGTCTACAGATGTGTGCTACCTTTAAGTGCAAGGATATTACTGTGTGAGCATTCGTCTACCATACCAGGATGAATCTCTAGATGTCCCCAAGGGGCTGTATCCCACAATGACAATTTCCTTCTGCTGGCAGTATTCCATCAACTTTGGCTGAGTGAAATAGGGATGGCATTCAACCTGTGTTTAGAAAAACACATATTGGTTGTTAGTTTCTGTAGAGAATTTAAGGATCTATGCAGCCACCGTGAAGACACAACTGAAATGACATGGTCTGGTCTACTGAGGATTTCTGTGATTTGCCTTATACTTAAATTTAAAAATATGAGCATTGGACATTTCGCTTGCCGCCACCTTTTTCGATTTGAAAAAAGTTATGCACAATGATAATTATGCTCAAGAATGAACCAACCCTTTACTCACTCGAGGAGGAAAGGAGGCATTTGTGGGACAGTTTAGCTGTGCCGCTGTAACGCAATCTGTCTTCAAACGCAGCTTGACCCTGAATTGAGACTTAGCTGTTTTGCTTGGTGCATTTTACTGTTTGTCAGCAAGTTCTCTTCCACCTATTACCCAAAACGTGCACCTTCTTTTCAGGATCGTTCCTGTGTCTGTACCTGGTTTGAGACTGGCTTGTGTTTCAGCCCAGGTTTGTTCAGAATCAGCTCCAGTTGTCGCTTGTTAAAGTTCGATACTCCAAGAGATTTCACAAGCCCTGCGTCTTTGCAAGCCTCCATAGCCTGAGAGTAAAAACAGAGCACAGCCAGAAAGCAGCAACTTAAACTTTGGACCATCTGTGTGTGTTTGACAGGCACACAACACAGGCTGAGTGAGTGAGTGAGAGAGAGAGAGAGCGAGAGAGTGAGTGAGTGAGAGAGAAAAAGAGTGAGTGAGTGAGAGAAAGAGTGGGTGAGTGAGTGAATGAGTGAGTAAAATAGTGAGTGAGTGAAATAGAGAGAAAGAGTGAGTGAGTTAGTGAGTGACTCAAACACTTCACTCACCCCTCCACCTGCATAGTGGTGAGTAGATAATGAGTGAATTTTCCTGTTTCTGTGAACTATCCCCTGTAGATCTATGAATTATTCTCTGAGCTTATACTACACCAACATCTCCAACTGACATAGACAGACTTTCTCCCCCCCAGGTCGCACATGCAAACAGTATTGTTTGACCAAACTGAAGTGCAAACAAGACCTACTGAGTAACTGGGAAGACCTCATAAATATGCCTATCGGTGAATTGTGGGTTTGACAGTTTTTCTCAGTTTTGCACATTGATCACACACGATGCAGCCATATGTGAAGGTTAGGGGTTAGTTTTATTCTTGAATATAAAGTAGAGGGCAAGTCTTACCTCCCATGTTGCACAGAGGTCCGTCTCATGATAGATATATTTCCCATTGTCATCTCTGGGGTAGTATGTTTCCCCTGGCTTCAGAAAATAATAGTATTTTAGTAATAATGACTTTGGTAATGATAATGATAACTTTGGCAGTAATGCAATGCTCACAAAAGACAAGCCATGTTTTTGTCGACAGGTACAGAGATACGTTTGTTTACCCTGAAGGCAGTCGGCATTTCTACTATATAGAGGTCCACATAATCCAACTGTAATGTCTTCAATGTTTTCTCAAGAGCAGGTCGCACCAGTTCTGGAGGATGGAAGGTGTTCCACAACTGCATGAGACAAAAACAAAGCTGTAACTTGTTACAATAAGTGTAGCGTTCACCGTGTAGCCACTAAGTTGTAACTTCCCAGACAAACTAACCTTCCCACAGTAGAAGATGTCCTCTCTCTTCACGGTTCCATCTGCAATTTTTTCCCTTATCGCTTGTCCCACCTCATGTTCGTTGAAATAGACCAAAGCCCCATCAATGTGTCGGTACCCGGTGTCGATGGCCACTTTAACTGATTCACATGCAGTTCCTTTAGGCGTCTGTAAGGAAATTGTTTACTCAGTGAAAAATAGTCTACATGTCCCATGGGTAATTTGGGTAAATATTTTGTGTCTTACCGCGCGAGGGTCTCCGTATGTCCCCAGCCCCATCAAGGGTATGCTGTTCCCATCACTCAGGGGAATGGAGTGGCTCTCAGCCGTGAGGTTCATTCTCATCAAAGTGTGACTCTTCAAGCCGTCACAGCTGCACGCGTCCTGGTTTAGAGCCCAAGGTTGAGTGAGTTATTCACAGCAACGATTTATCCTTCCCTGCTGCACTTTGATACAGTTGTGGCTCCTGAGATAATGTTATAAGGACTTTGACTCCTCCCTGGAATACAGGGGTGGAGTGGATTGAGGCTATAATTTAAAGGTAAAGTTTGCAAATTATATGAATTAAAAAAAGGTTGAAAGATTTTGTCTCAGGGCAAGTCAATATATATTTGTGAGTTTATTTGTTCCCCAACTTGAGGTCAGCCTCCCCTGGGTCAGTTGCGAAAACACAGAGAAGGGGTTGCAATATGACAAAGTGAACATTGGGGTGGCCCAAAATCTTCATTCATATTTAAGTATTCTGTTATTTAAAACAATGTCTAATACTGTATTGTAAGTTGAATGTGTGCTTGGTAATATAAACATGTTTTATGTGTATTTTATATAACTTTATATATTCATTTTTTTAAATATTTTTAGTAGTATATTAGATTATATAAAATATACATAAATATCTTTAAACTAGCATGTATACTTTAGACTTAAGACATAAGACACATTAGGGCCACATTGTTTAATGTTTTATGGTATTTTTTTTAAACAAAGAACAGACATATATGCATTGCTATAGATCTATGAAGACAAGTGAAGTTATTTTGGTGTCTTTTTTTATGGTCCTCATAGCATAACAGTTTTTCATAGCATTATTTGGTTATGGGGCGGGGGGGGATTTGAACCATATTTGAACATTGACACATTATTTAAAATAACATATTTTTCTCATAATTTTGCCAAAAAGTGTTATTTTTGAGTTCAGAGGCTAACAAATTTGGGAACCCCTGATTTAACCTTCTAGGTTTTCTGTGAGTTTTTCGTGATGTGATGTCTTACCGTTTATAGCAAACAACCCTTAGGATCCAGTGAAACTGACCATTTGTAATTTGCTTTGCAAATATTTATTTCAAAAAGGGTGGTTTGTTCAATTACGACTAATCAAACAGAGTGAAGCGTGTTTTTTCTCCTGGCTCTCTAGTCCTGCCTCTTAAATTTAATTTTGTATCATTTACACTTGGTGGTAGGATGTAACTAAGTACTTTTAATTCATTAATTAATTAATTTACTAAGGTAAATATATTTTGAGGTACTTTTCACTTTCACTCCACAAAATACATCAGCAAATATCTGTACCTTCTACTCCACTACATTTGACAATGCATTGTGTTTCATGTTCACATTGTTTGTTTCTTTTATATTCTTGTGAGCAATCAATAAGAACTTGACTTAATTTTACTCAAGAAGAAACGTAAATGTGGTACTTTTACTTGTGTACATTTTTGTCTTTTCATTTGTCATTTTACCTTCGTAAAATGTTGGAGTAGTTCCTCCACCACTGTTTACACTTTTAATCTTTATATTTATGAATAATGACCTTCAGTATTTGGGTCAAGAAGCTCATAAAAACAAGGTGTGTGAGATAAACTACTGCACAGCTGTGGAATTTAAAGGTCCAGTGTGTGAGATTTAGTTGAAAGGGATCTATTGGCAGAAGTTGAATATAAAATAATCCTAGTGATGTTTCAGCTATAGTTGTCCCATTGAAATTGAAAAAAAAAAAAGTAGTTTCAGCTGCAATATGCAACTTTACCACTAAGTGTCACTAAATTCTACACACAGAACGTGAAAGCGTTAGATACACAGGGGACACACAGGGTCGGGGCCACAAAACACACACACAAAGGGGGGAAATACGATTTGTGAAATGCACTTTATTAAGGTCGGGGCCAGAGAGCAAAACTGACAAGGGCAGAGAAAAATCAACATTTGCAAATTACATACAAATTTGAGGGAGTAGCATCAAACAGGATGGAAATTATTTTTGGAGTTATTGGTAAATTGTTCTTTCTGAGTAGTTGCATAGAAGACCTTCTTTATCAAACAACTGACCCACAAATACCATTTAACCATTAAACTATTCATCAGAAAGTAATGACTTGTTCTTGTGTGTAATATTCGGTTTGTTCTAGATATACCATCTCTACAGACACATTGTTTCTGTAAATCAGGGCCTGGGGTAAACATGCCTACTGATGAACGTTGGACAGTTTGACCAGAATTTGTTTGAATACTGAAGTTTCAGAGCAGAAGAAAAAGAACACATTTTATTTATAAGCTCACTCAAGGTCACATTACAAGGCAGAGATAAAAACAAGGTATCAAAAACATCAATTCAATTAAAAGTGAACAAAATGGAAGACAGTCAAACTGAATGTGTTCAAAAAGACGAGTTTCGAGATGGATGAAGTACTTTTGGAAGCAGCTTTCTGAAAATGTCGCTTGATCCAGTTTATTTTGAATGTGTTGCTGAGGGAGCTACAGTCTGTACAGTCCAGCACGAAGAGGGTTTGTGTTTTAAGTGTTTAGCCTTCGATCCATAGGTTTACTGTTGGGACACATTTCACCGGGGGGAACAGAATCTGACGGAACACCGGCCCAGCCTGACTGTCGCTTTAAGACACCGCGGGGGCTTGTGGGTACGTACATCGTCTGTGTTTTGAGAAGCCAGCGCACAGATGGTCGCTCTTCCTCTGGACCCGCGAGCCTCCAAACACTTTGCATGTATCGTCATATGAATCCATGCGTGACCCTGAGAGGCTACTTGTTGCCCGTGTTTGGTGAGGAGCGCAACAAACGCGGGGAATTCATTATTTATTGACTCTTAGCATATGTGCAATGAAATCAAGCTAGGTCGCTAATTTAGCTTCCAGAACGGAAGTCATTCTCAGACCAAAGCGGGGATCGCACAGTCAAGTAAACCACATTTTGCGGTGTTAAAATGGCTGCGTCTTTAGTGTTGTAATGAGCCGTGTTGGTCTTTATATCCCGTGTCGGGCCGGGTTCAGTTAAATATTGGGGCTCTCCTTTGTTTTCAATCGCACCGCTGTATCGATCGGTTGCTCCTGGAGATCGCTGATCGGGGGAAGAGATGGACGAAAGGTCCGATAATGTCGACAACGACGACATTGTCATCATCGTGGAGAACGAGGCGGAAAGTTTGCCGGCCCAGGAGGAGAGGCTCAAGCAGCAGGGCACCATCGGGCTCATGGACACTTGTCCCAGCTGCAAGTTGAGCTTCCACAACAGGGAGCCCAAGCTGCTGCCGTGCCTCCACTCCTTCTGCAAGAGGTGTCTGCCGCCCCCCTTCAGGAGTGCCGACCCCAGGCGTGACTCCCAGGGTCAGGTCGACCACAACAAACCACGTGAGAGCACATGTCTAATCACACCAGTTCCTGTCAGCATCATGATGCAGTTGTGGTTCATGACACTGTGTGTGATGAAGCCAAGAGAGGAGTGACGAATGCTGGGATATCCTCTATGTCTGAAAGCATCAAGAAAGTATATTATAGCTGCTTATCGCTGGAGAAGTTCCTTCCCAATACAGATTGATACCTGCTTATCGGCTGATAGCGAGTATCGATCCAACAGAGCTCATGGTTCTGGAAGTAAAAAGCCCTTACGTTTTCCAAATAGAGATTTTGAATGTCGCCCGTATTCTTTGAACCATGCAAGGTAGACTTACCACAAGCTACCAGATTGTTCAACAATGTTCTAGTCTGTTTGACCAGTTAAACCTGACATAGCCTAATCCACAAGTGCAAACAGTGAAACACCCCACATACATACAAATTACAATACATTGCAACACTGCTATAAACAAGGTCACATTCAAGAAGAAGTGTGCTGGTAGGGGATCATCAGCAATGGGGAAGGTGAATGGGAAATTAATTTCCAGAACTAGAGCAGTTCTAAAAGTGTGTGGTCAGCGTTACAGCTCGACTGCTGTTCTGGAGCTAAGTGGTTTCCAGTGGAAAATATTATTTTAGACTTTTTTTATCCGGTTGAAACTAATCAACTTAAAAGACGAGGTACTGAATCTGTAGATAGATTTGAATACTCACAGATGTCCAACCTAACATTTTAGGCGGTATCACAATATCCTTTAACTATTAGTCAATGTTGTATTTATTGATTATAAAATATGATGCTATGAAAGTGAATGGGATGTGACATTTGGAATGATCTGGTCTCTTGCTTCAGTGGGCGCCATTCGCTGTCCAGTATGCAGACAGGAATGCTGGGAGATGGACGTGCTGGATAATTTCTTTGTCAAGGACTCTGCTGAGGTGCCGAGCAGCACTGTGGAGAAAACCAGCCAGGTTGGCTGTCACCTGCACATCCTGCACCTTTCCTCTCACATCAATTCAGTTTTATGACACCACTCTCCCATAAACTACACTGGTTGTTTTAAAAAAAAAATTGGTTTTGTTCTTTGTACTTGTCTTTAATAGGTGTGTATGAGCTGCGATGATAACACAGAAGCAACAGGTTACTGTGTGGAGTGTGTGGAGTTTCTGTGCTTGACGTGCATTGAGGCGCACCAACGGGTCAAGTTCACCAGGGATCACACCATACGACAGAAGGAGGAGATGTCTCCAGGTAGTGTGCGTGTGTGCAAAGCAATTCTCTGAAACAAAAGTAAATTATGTAGAAGCAGTCATCTGCATTTTTTCTATATATATGGCACATTGTTTATTCTGTGGTTAAGTGATAATATGAATACTGTCAATATTATTTCTTTTAAATTTTCTGCAAACCACCTCAGGTACCCTAGACGTTGGGCTATATGAATAATGTCAGACCTCATTGAGAAGGGGTTAGTCATACACTGAAGAAATTCACTGTGCATTATTAACAGTAAGGTCAACAAGTGAAGACAAGGGGGGGTGTTGATAATGAGGATACAGAGGAAATGTTAAGGGGCTACATTTCTTTGTGAAAGTAAATGTACTATTTGTCTTTATCCCAGAAGCAGTTGGCGTTACCACACAGAAGCCTGTGTTTTGTGACATCCATAAGCAGGAGCCACTGAAACTCTTCTGTGAGACGTGTGACCGACTCACCTGTCGAGATTGTCAGCTTCTTAAGCACAAGGATCACAAGTATGTGCCATTTTCTCTCCCCTTAACACAAAATAGCTTATTTTTTGATGCATCTTTAGCACCTTTCAAACAAGCCCTGAACTCCAGATGATCTTTTTCAGAGGGGCTGTATGTGAGAATGCAAATGTCAAAGTGAGAGGCTCCGGATCTTCTCGGACCACTAGTGACCCCCTAGTAAAAACTCCAGATAATGTCCAAGTGAGCTCATGTGAGAAAACAGATCTGCAGGATTCACAGTGAGCGAGTGGGTTTTGTTGACGTTTCCACCAAGTGACAGCCCCAAAAATTAAAAACCAAAAAGAATACAATATCTCAGGATGAAAAAGCAGCACCACACAGACCAAAGATGTCAAGAAAGCTTTTTGTGAAAGCTGCCGACACCAGTGTCAATGTGGTGTCAACAAAAACCGTGATCTCTGCAGCTGAATTAATACTTTACATCTTTCCTCTGCCTGCTGCAACACCCTTCACCTGAACACCCCTGAGATTTATGTGTTTTTGTGAATGCATCTGAGCAGAGAATCTCCTGCTGCGTTGTCCATGTGTGAAACGAAACCTCCGGAGAATCAGCTTGTTACAGCATAGTAGATAATTTAGAAAGCCTCCTTCTGATTTCGAGCAAGTAATCCTCCCTTGATATTCATGATGTGCTGTGCGTTAATGTCAAAACCTGTTTACTGTCAGAAATGGATAAAAATACATTTTGATGTCAGTATTTATTTTTAGCACTATTGTGTGTTACCAAAAAATACTCAATGATTAATTCAGAAGGATTTATTTTTTCACACACTTTGATCTTCTTTGTGTCCAGCTACCAGTTTCTGGAGGATGCTTACAGAAACCACAGGCAGTACCTGGAGAACATGACGCAGCAGTTACAAGAGAAACGAAAGACCATTGAAGAAGTGTCCAGCTGTATCAGCAACGGGTAAAGTTTGTTTCTACAGCCATGATCGTATGTTTGAATTTTGGACTAAACCTGAAGTTACCCAGATTACTGCAAATCTGGCTTGGAGTACAGGCCTCTGGTCTGACCAGGATCTGTTTTATAATCATTGCAGGTATAATAGTATGTGTTTAAAACGGAATTTCAGAAAATCACTTTCCCAAGAACACTGAAATGCTGCATATATTTATTGAGACTTCAATTTCAACAAATTTAACGATAATCAAAAGACGTTGGGCCAATGTATTGGATGATATTACAGCTATTTTTCATTTTCTGTGTTTATCCTCTCAGACTTCAACAAGTTGAAGAAAACCGTAAAGCTGTAACAAATGAAATAAAGAAGTCCATCTGTAACTTAATCATGGAGATCAACAGGAAGGGGAAGATTCTGGTTAACCAGCTTGAGGTACCTTGGTTTGTTTTTCCCTGAGTGGTGTAAATAAATAATGACTTTTTCAAAGTCAATTGTAAAATAAGGTTTTTATGATGTTTCACAATCTCAGGGTCTAACTAAAGAACACGAGATGGGTTTAAAAAAGCAACAAGACGACGTCAATTCTCTGAGTCGGCACCTCGATCATGTTATTAGCTTTACAAAATGGGCCACAGCCAGTCACAGTGGAACAGCTCTGCTGTACTGCAAGAGACTGGTGAGTTTTTACAATAAGTACTTGACAAAATACGACAATTCTTTTCTGATTTCAGTGACACTTGTTAAATTCCACTCTTTATTATCTCCTAGATCCTTTACCAGATCCATTACCTGATGAGAGCGAGCTGTAATCCCTCCATCGTCCCTCAGAGTTCTGTTCGCTTCCAGTGTCGCTCAGGTTTCTGGGCCACTAACGTAGACCTTGGTAAGAATCACATCATCTGAAACTCCCACTATAAGTGCAATCAGCATTGATGCTGGCTGACTGCTGAAATACATAGACTTTAAATGAAGGTTGACGACATGACAGTTCTCCAGAAGTGAAGCTCGATGTGAGTAAAGGTTAGACCCAGAATCCATGATGATCTATGATGTTTAAAAATCAGGGAGGAGGAAAATATGTTCTGTCAAAAAAAAATCCACAGTAATGAGAAGTTTCTTTGAAAGAATTGTCAACCACGTCTTCCTGCACCTTCATTTTATCTTTGTGACTGTGCTATTAGAAATTAGTGAACAAGACAGATTCAATTCACACCTATGCTTTCCAGTGTATTATTCTCCCTGGCCTAAATAACATTTTTCTTAATCTCACATTTGTTCTTGACAATATTAAATTCTGGATTATCATAATTAAAATTTTTACACATGTATGTACTTGTATGTTGTGCTAACCGTAGTCTTTAACATGACTCAGGCTCAAATCACCTGGATGAATATCATTACTGAATCTTTGATTACAATGACTGCCACTGCTAAATTTGTTTAAATAGGCTACAGCTTCTTCTTTATTTACTCCACCTGGTCAATGTCAATGTTAGCTCTTTTCCAGAGATGTTGAGTTGGACAGAAGAGAGATGACTAAGCCTCTGAAGCCTGCTGCTCATGTCTGCTTGAGGTTAGCAGCTGTTAAGTAGCACTATGGGTCATGTAGGCAGCAGGCTTTGACAAGAAAAAGATGAAATGTCAAGTTGTGCTACATCAATTTTAATCCTTTACAGAAGTCCAATTCTAAATCATTGACCTACTCCAGTGAACTGTGTGAGTCCCCGTCAATCAGAGGACTGGGTTATTATCATTTGCTTGTATTGTCCAGGTTCTCTGACGGTAGAAAGGGGCCCGGGACGACCGCCCATCCCCAACCACCAAGCAGCTCCCAGGGCAGAGGTGGCCGCTGCAGGTCTGTCGCTCTCCGCTCAGCAGCGACAGAGCACGCTGGCTCAGCTCCAGATGCAGGTAGTGGTTTTGATGTCCCGACAAGTTAATCTTGCATAAAATATAAGAGTATAGGGGTAAATATTTATTTGAACTCTTTGCTTACCTCTCGAGTACTGTGAAATGTTCTTAGTGCTCTTTATCTTTTAAGATCATAATTAAAGCACAGCCTCTCCCAGCACTGAAACTGTTCAACTACCCCTCTGTCCAAGGTTGACAAGCTTTCCCAACAGTCCCACAGACAGCCCCCTCCCAACCACTGGTCCTGGTACCAGAACGTCAGGCTCCCGGGACCCCCTTGCCCTCCGCCGCCGACCAGGCCCATCCACGGAGGATCCTCCCCCTCCCAGGGACCCCTAGGTTTGGCACAACAGGGACGCAGGTATGGGAGTTCCCACCCCAACACGAGAAGTCCCACTTCCTCCATGCTTCACAACACGGGATTCACACCTGCTCAGGTACGTGAGTGCAGGTTTGAAACTGGATGTGTGTGTGTGTTGGAAATTGGACAAACATGATTATATATATCATACTTATCATTGAAATAACACAAATCATTTCTTATACCAATGTTTTATTTAGCAGTGTCTCTTATGTTTTTCTTTATGAAACCATAAATTGATAGTATTTGTTACATTTCTACAGATTAATAGGACTAACTTAGACTTATACAATCTGAACTATGCTTGTAACTTTTAAAATTTTTTTCTACATCTAGTCTCTGAGAGAACTGATCAATAGCTCCAGCTTCCCTCCCAAACCTGGGGATGTGTTGCAGGGTACTTCTCGCTACACACAGCCTCTGTCTGCCGGAGCAGCGACACAGATCTCACTACATCAGGTCTGTAAATGAGGGACCAAGGAGATTTTCAGTCCGACATAAGCAGGATTTTTGAATGTCTTGTGTAACGATTGTGTAATGATGATGTGTTAATTATACCTTATGTTTGCTCTGTTTTCTTCAGAGGAGCATGCCTGAGCCCTCCTTCCTGAAGAGGAGTGAAGCCAGCGCAACTGTCCCCTCCATCTCCATCTCTATCCCCAAACCCAGCTACGCTCCAAGTCTCGCCTCAGCATCCGCAGATAAAACAAGCACACTTAACCACATGACAGGTCAGTGTATGAGCTGCGATCGAGCCGCAGCTGTAAAATCTCACCTGAACGCTTTTCATCACAAGTTTTTATTTTTTCTCATCCTCTTTTCTCTAGTTCAAGGAAGGCAAAACTCCCCGATGGCCAAACCTTCGTCTTCAGACAGAGGCACAGGGTAAGAAAAGATCCTGATAAAACTGAACTTTTACATTGTCAAAGTTACGTTTTCAGGACAGTAATTGAAATAACGTTGAAAATGTTGCTTTTATCTAATGCATATTCTCAACTTAGCCTGACCTTTTCTCATTATGAAACTTTTGGCTTTTATCAGACTTTTTATTCTGAGGTTTGATAAAAATTATTGTAGATTGTGTAACTTTTTGATAGCAGTTGTTTTTGTCACTGTTAACAATCATTATCTAAGCCATGAATATAAAAAAATACAAATGCATTACGTCCCTTGTGACACTTATTTTTGTTTCCACTAAACTGCATTTTTCCTCACATGTAACTTGACGTTCCGAAGACAATCTGATCTTTTAAACCGGCTGAAGAAACAAGCTGAAGGTCAATGTGTGTTTTTTTTTTAAACATATATTGGTCATTATCTTCTTCCCCTGTCTCTGACAATCTGTGCGATGAAGGACGTCTTCCTGGAAGCAGAGTTCCGAGCCGCCGTCTGCCCCCTCAGCCAAGCGACGAAGAAGGACGTCCCCTGGGCCCATTATCATCATCAAAGATGAACCAGAGGACGAGGATGAAGTTCATTTTGTAAGTACAATTGGAAAATTATATTTAGTTGTGTGATATGTTGTTTTACTTTAGCCTAAAGTGGCACAGTTTTAGTATTTAGCGGTTTCTAAAGCTGCTTTCAGGTGTCAGGTGAAATCTGGACATTTTCCTGACATTTTCTGGAGGGGCTGTATCTGAGAACGCAGATGCCTGAGTCAGTTGGTTTCCCAGAACTTTTCCTGCCTCACTCCGAGTTAAATGTCTGGAAAATTCCACAACGAACAAGAGGGTGTGTTGATGACGTTTCTAACATGAGACAGACGTGAAACTGGAAGAATACAAATATCTCAGGGTGAAAAGAGGTGTCGTACATGTAGAAGATGCCAAACTTATCTTGACGCTGGTATCAATGTGTTATAAGCAAAAGACTCTTTATACAGATTTTTACGTAAACAAATTGACATGATATATCTAGACCAGATTTTCTTTACATTTTGTCCGAAAAACAGCTTGAGTTAAAGGACCATTCTGTCCCCTGCATTGTTAATCAGAAATATCAAGTCCTTGCTTTCTAATTATCTCAGTTTTTATTACTGTGAGTCATTGTTATTTGATTGTATATATCCTGCATTTTCATTGGCTACAGGTGCAGTCCAGCGTTGGGTCCAGCCTGCCCGACAGCAGCACTGGGGCTCAGTCAAAGCCCCGGCTGCAGCAGAAGGTGTCTGTCCCGAACCTGGTCCCTGGATCAGAGTCTAACGCTGGGAAAGAGCAGTGTCCTCAGCCCGTAGCTCAGCCAGAGTCTGTGAAGAGAGCGGAGCCGGAGGAAGATCCCAACGAAGACTGGTGTGCCGTGTGTCAGAACGGAGGAGAACTGCTGTGTTGTGACAAGTGTCCCAAAGTTTTCCACCTGTCCTGCCACATCCCCACGCTGAACGAGTCCCCCAGGTGAGAGACAAGACTGTCTCGCGGTGACACGGTGATGTCAAACATTTACAACGTACGTTGGGTGCCACCACAAGAATTAACAGGAAGAAGTTAATAAATAATATGGTACCCGATGGAGAGTGTGATTTTTGAAGCTTTGCTAGCTGCACATTTTGTCTTAGAAAAACATTTATCAGTTACCCATCCATCCGCTGATCTAGCCTCAGGTCACAGAGCCAAGTAGGATATCCCAGACCTCCCTCTCCACACAACAAACCACAGCTGTAAACAACAGTTAGTTCTCTTTTTTCAATTATTTCTTAATAGGTCTTCAACTTTAAACAGACAATCAACAGACACAATAAAGGAAAAGAAGGGAGGAGAAAAAAGACACCTAATTTATTTTTCAGGGTATATGTGAGCCAAAGCACAATAACTGATGCTCACTTTCATTCCACTGAAACATGACTTCCACGTCTTGATAACATGCACAACTTCATCTAATTCCAAAACAGAACAGGAGGTTGAAGTCGTATTTTCAGCAGGAACTTCACTCTACTTTCACTTATCTTATCGTAAATTGTCACTATTGTTGTTCTTTCTTTTTTTCGTACAATTTTTTTAACAATTACAAACATCTGAAAATACAGTTCAGTCACATTTGATTATATTAAAGGATTATGAGGGAACACCTGGAAGGCACTGTAGATAAACTAATGCAAATATTTGAGCAAGAGAGTTAATTTAAATGTATTTAATTTATGTGCTATTACTTTGTTAAAACTAACAGCATTACACCTCCTCTTTACACAAGAGTTCCTGTATTTCATATCTCTTGTTGATATTAGAGTAGAGCTAATGAGAGGTTTTTAAATGAAGACTAATGATGAAGATGCTGATGAGCTCTTCTCCAGGTCGAAGACTATGTTTTGACGGCCCTGTGAGCCGAGTCACTTAGTCAAACCTCACACGTGTCCTCTCTCGGTGTCCTCACATCTTTCCTCTCTTTAGTGGGGAGTGGTTCTGCTCATTCTGCCGGGACCTTGTCTCTCCTGAGATGGTGTACGACTCCGACAGAAAGGACCACGCCGCCTCTGATGGATTCTCACCTGTCGATAGAAGGGTACGCTGACTCACACAGCCTCGTTCTCCTGTTGTTATAATAATACCTTTGTTGGACATTTCATCTCCCATCAAACAAATGCCTCATCCTGAACAATTCAAATGTATTGAACCAAATCTTCTCTCCTTTTATTTGTTCAGAGCTGTGAGAGGTTGCTCCTGCGTCTGTTCTGCAATGACTTCAGCACTGACTTCCAGCAGCCTGCTTCTCCATCGGTGAGGCTCTGTATCCAGAACGCTGGATAATCAGTAAAATGAAAAACAAAAATAAAACTAAACTGGTCAGTGGTGTCTGCTGGACATTTGACTTAAAATCAGTAAAAATAAAATCCTTATTGGAAGTTACTTTAAAATGAAAAAAGAAAAGATTATTGTTTCTCGTGGAAACATTGATAATGACATGAGGACACTTGACCAGGGTCAGTGTGTCTAAAAGATGCTCATTCATGCCATTAGCTCATATATTTAAATTGGTAAACATCCACTTGAAACAAGTAACATTTTCAGCTAATTTTGGAACGTCACTCTAATATAATATATTTATTACAAGATCACCTTGACTTGCATTTTATCATCAAAATGAATTTTTTCAAAGTCACAAATGTTTTAGTTTTTAAAGAGATACTGCTTGCCAGTTGAATGGTTACTTAAAGATGGGGTTGGTTATTTGTTTCTGAAACACTTCTTATCTTAAATAATCTAAAATCCTCTTCATGTCTCAAGAGTCATTAATAAATAAATTTGTCTGAAAAAGAAAGCCAGTGTCTGTGCCCCTCGCAGGTCTGTAATAAACACGACTAATCAATGGAATATCATCCAACTGTAGCCAGATCTTGCTAACTTTTCCTGGATTACCAACCGTCCATTCAACTTTTAATAATTTTTCCCATGTAGGAGACCAAAAGGTACAAAGAGCTGATTCAGACGCCAATGGATTTGTCGATAGTGAAGAGGAGACTTGAGTCTAAGTCGCAGGACGGTGAATATTATATGTGTCCAGAGGGATTTGTCGCAGATGTCAGGCTCATATTTTTCAACTGTGCAAAATACTACAAGGTAAAGATCAAGTTTTCTTTTTCAAAATAAATTAACTTAACCATCAAAAACAATCCTTCACCTAACAACTCAACTAACTATCATTTGTGGGCTCTAGTACAATCTCCCTCTTTCATTGTCCTTGTTCTTTCTGTGCACTGACTGTCCAGGTGACGTCAGAAGTGGGGAGCGCAGGCTTGTACTTGGAAGACTACTTTGAGGAGCAGCTGAAGCTCGTCTACCCAGATAAGATCTTCCCTGGTGGGAGGGAAGAGCAGATGATTCCTCCTTTAGAGGACGAGATAGACGAAGAAGAAGAAGTGATGGCAGAAAATGTGGCACCCGTGGAGGATCTAAAACCACAGAGTCCTGCAGGACAAGGAATCCCTCCTGTGGAAGAGGATTTGGCTCCACTGGAAGAAGCGCCAGCCACAGAAGAGCAGGGACAGTTGGAAACTAAGGAGAAGGCAACCGACACGAGCGAGAAGGAGACGGAAGAGAAGAAGATGAAGGAGACGGAAGAGAAGGAGACGGAAGAGAAGGAGACGGAGGAAATGGAGACGGAAACGAAGGTTGCTGTCGCTGAGGATGCCACTTCTCCTTCAGAGGAGGTAGAGAAGGATGAGAAGACTCCTGTGAAGGAGGTGAACAGCTCTTCCGCTGCTGATAGTGACACAAAAGTCGCTCCCTGCTCCCCAAAGAAAGAGAACCCTGAGCTCCCCGCAGAAAAGACTGTAGATGCTGCTGAAACCCAGGAGGAGGCTGCAGACACAGCCAAAGAGGAGTCAGCGTAGTTGGTTTACAACGGCGAGAAAGTGGAGTAAAGATGGATGATTTCAGTCTTCCGCAGAATCGGCCCCAGTGGGGACCTCCATGTGCTGCAATCAGATTTTTTGTACTATGTTATATTTGCAATAGGGGGGGGGGGGGTCGTCCTGACGAGACATATTTAGTGAGAGTGATGCACATTTAAGGGACTGAATAAACTCTTTGTGTTATTGCTATACAAAGATGACAGTTCTGTGATAATGACGACGCTAAGAAGCACACAAAGGATACTGTTTGTTGATGGGATCATGTGTGAGTTATCATCACGTTACCTTATCACCGTATATAATGATGCCATCAACTCAAGGCACAAACGCTGCAGTTGAAATAAGGAAACAAGACTTTGGATCAGAAATGCATGTGCGATGTCTTAATATAAATAATAACTCCTCCATTTCTTTGTGTTTTAGACTTCAGCTCTAAAATGAGCCACCTGGCTCGTAAGCAAGTGATGTTTTATTGCAAAAGTATTATTTTTTATCTTGTTGTTATTTTGATAATGCTTCGTATCCAACAAAGAGGGCTGCTGTATATACTGTAAAAAGAATTGACCCATATATCAGTGTGACACTGTTTGAGATTGGAAATTTTGTGAGAACAAAAAGAAATTGTCATTGTTATCACGGTTAGATTTTTAAGAAAATGTCATCACTTCAAGGTCTCTTACTCCCCTGAATCCCAAAGATGATTCATCAAGCAGCCGCCTTGTTGTGTTTGTTCACAGACTTTTATTTATTGAAATATAATCGCTCTGAGATTATTCAGAGACACAATTATCATTTTCTCCTTGTCAGCCTCTGACAACAGTGTGTTTTCCAGATTGCGACCTTGTCCGGCTGCATCATTAAAAAGCATACTTTTATCTCACCTCTTTGTTTTCTTGTCCCTTTTGCTCACTGAAATATTAAAAAGCACACATTTAGTCAAAAAGATTTTGGACGGTTAACTAAACCCTGCTGTAAGATCATAAACTCGCTTGAAATCAAAAGAGTGATTTTAAAACTGACACTTGAAATATGTTATTTTTAATCCCGTCATCACTTTAACACAAACCGACTGCTCTTGATCTGTAAATGAATTCTAAATAATGTTGAACATTAAAAACACCTGCATTTACAATATTTGTAATAAACAGTGTTACTTGCAGATCTGATCACTGTTCTCATTTGTATGACACTACACACGCTGCAGTGACTTCCATTCATTGTGGACCACCTAACAAAAACACTGACCTCAACAACAAACTCAAGAATTATGTTTAGCAAAGGGCACGTTCAAAATACAAACATCAGCAAAAGCAATAAATAAATAGACCTGCAAACAAAGGAAAGTAAAAAATTGAAATTATATGAAATGTAAACCAAATTATTTAGTGTAACTGGAGTGAGCATTAGTTTGTTGGCTCTAATTTGCAAATCACAAAACATTAGTTTAGGCTTTTAGTGTGTGTGTGTGTGTGTATGTTTGTGTATGTGTGTATGTTTGTGTGTGTGTGGCCCTGACTCCCTCCTCCACGCCCCCAATCTCAACCCTCACAGGTCTGAGACAAACTTGTTGCCCTCTCTCTCTCTCTGTGTGTCTCTCTGTGTCTCTCTCTGTCTCTCTCTCACACACACACACAGTCTGCGGTCCCGCTATTCACGTCGAAATCACCGCAAACTTTGAGCCATTTCAGAGACGATGGCGCAGTGGACGCTTCTCCTGTTTTCTCTCTGCGGAGTTCTGCATGACGGAGGTGAGAACATCACTTTTTATTTAAGCTGTGACTGTGATTGCAAGCTGCGCATGATTTACTGCGTATTTAGTTTGGAGAATACCACAGCCTCCTCTCGGGGGGGTGGGGGGGGGTGTAGGAGTTCAGCTGCAGCCTTGCCTCCATGATGTGAGTATTAATGTTTCTGATTTGTGTCTGAATAATAATCCACATGTCATCATCCCCTCACTGCAGAGTCTCAGCCTCCCACTCTCCTGAAGTGCTGCCAGGACGGGAGGGACAGGGCCCTGAGACGACAGGACTGTGCGTTCCTCCCCCTCATCTCCCCCTCACACACCTGCAGGTAAGAAACACCTGGTTTCTCTCAACACTGATCATCCCAGGGGGGGGGGGTCTCATGATGGAGGTCACAGACACATGAGAGCAAAAGACAGACATGTTGTTTGGCATGTCTTTGTCTGTCTTATTGTGAGCGTGTTTGTGGACGTCTTTCAGTCTGTGTCGTCATTCCTCTAAAAATGTTGGGAAGTCGATTCAAACAAAAGGCAATTTCATTAGTATTCAAGGAGAAGATTCAAGGTGCTGCACACGGACGTGAAAGTGAAACAACACAGAGACAAATTTAAAGACAACCATTTAAAATATGACAAAACTATTTTCAAGCTAAATAAATAGAATCAATAAATCTGTTGCTTATCTCTCAGGCCCCTGTCTATTATAGCCCCACTAAATTTTGTGGAGATGTGGGGCATGACACAAAGAAGAAGGCGTGCAGAGCCGTTCTTTAACATTGTAAGCTTGTAGCATTTTTCAACATCTTTGTTGATTTCTCAGGGAATAATTGGATTTTACTGAAAAAAAAATCTGACATATTTAGGGGTGTGTGCACTTTGGTGCAGATCCAAATAAAAATACAGATCTTGCAAATTTAAATATGATTTCATTGGTGTGGAGTAGTTTTGCGTCTCTTATCTGACAACAGAAATACATCGGGTTTAGCTTTCCAACATCATACGTCAGACTGGATTCAGAGAAAAGTGGGAAATGCTTGCGTGATGTAGACCAGATCTTAAAAAGCAGGAAATAGCCGGTGGGGCTGCGAGCCTGCAAATCATCTCCCAGGGGATCTGCAGGGGAGGGGTTACCTCGTATAACTGCACTGTGAGTTCAGGGCGTTAAGTGGCCCCCTGGAGCACTTTAACACTGAAGGGCCCCCGTGTGACTTTTAAAAAACATGGAGGTGATGACTGCTGGAATAGAGGAACACCTGGTCAACACATGGAGGAGGTCAGAGGAGGGAACATTTGCATGCATGTCATAAAATGTAGTTATAAATGTGTGTATATATCAAACTAAGGTAACTTACTTATTGTTGTAAGTAGATATTTAAGGTATTTCAACATAAAAAACATTTGATCAACCATATCTAATGTAAATATTAAGCTTTTCTCTCCATGCTCTTTATCCAGCTGCAGAGCAGATCTAACTTTTTCTTTTCTAGATGAGCTTTCATGCCAGATTTTGTGCCGTTTGTTTCCAGGATCGCTCAGGAGCGGTGCTGCGATGCAACAGTCGTAGACAAGCTCTGCGACAAAGGCGTTCAACTGGCCCGAAGTCAAGGGGCCTGCGAGATGGCGTTCTTCAAGGGAGACCTTAAGCAAACGCAAATCTCGAAGGTGGCTCCTTTTCCTGATCTTCACCTCTACATTCTCCTGACACTTTGGAAATCATTACAAATTGTGTGTATTTCTTTTTTCTTTTCACCCGCTACCTGTGTAGATCTGTTGTGACTGCTGCATGCTCGGCCTGACGGACCTGGATTCGGACTGCGAGCTGCAGGGGCTGTCGCTGGGGAAAGACTGTGAACACACGGCTAAAATCTGCTGTGGCAATAACACAGAGAAGAGACCAAATGCTGAGGGTAAAAAAAAAAAGCGTCTGTGTTAAACCTTTTGTTTTTTTTGATTAGCTTAACTCCGTGTCATCCTGTTTTTGACGCTCGGGTCAATGAAGACATCAGTAAAATAATCTGCAGGATATCATTAGCACATGATATTATTAGGTCGGGAAAACACAGAGATTTCATGTGTTTCAGGAGGTAAAAGGTTTTCATCCAGAGAGCTTCACTGTTTCCATCAGGGCTGCTGAATAAACAGCCTTGGTGATAAACATTGTTTCTTACAAGTCGGCCAGACAACCAGACAGACAAGGTCACAGGAGTATTCAGTGGGCTGAGCTGTAGACACGCTGCCAAATGGTGACTTGTTGCAGTTCACAGCTTTTGTCTCCGAGCCGCCTTCAAACACTTCAGGAAGCTCAGATCTGCAACAACAACAACCCCGTCAGTGGAGAAACAGCGAATCATTGTCTTGTCTCATGTGGAGCAAAGGCCGGGGTGATAAGAGCAAACAGAGATGTCGGTCGTGCCTTGTGATGAGTTGTTTGACCTCTGTTCTCTTTAGGTATGCTGGGATTTTTATTGTGTTTAAAAAAAAAGAAAGAAAAAGTGTGTGGTTGAAAATGGAGACATTTTGTGTTTTTGTCCCTCCTGATATCTCAGGAACGCCGTAAGGGAACTTCTTCAAATTCATAACAAAGCTTAACATGACTTTAACTTGACCTGTTTCCAGGCTCCTCTTGCTCTCAGCTGCGTACAGAAAATGGTTCATGTGTCTGCCACGATGGTTATCAGCTGCAAGATGATGGAGTGAAATGTAAAGGTACGTAATGTGAGGGGAGGTGGAGACTTCCACACAGACTTCTTGAGGAAGGAATTTTCTGTACGTATACATAGATGGACGACGCATCTCCACTTCCTCCTACGACCCAGACATGAAGCCAAAATATCCAAGATACAAACGCTACCATCTTGGCTCATGACCACATTCTGAACCAGTCTGGTGATGTAGCCGCTTTAGCGAGGTCCTGCAGATGCATGCTCTAGACCAGTTCGCAAGTTAGTTGTCAACAATGACTTCTCTTTAATGTCTACTTTGATTTTTTAGTTTGGTCAATAAAATATGACGGCACAATCTACTGAAAATGCTCCATTATACAGATAAAGTGATTGTCACACTTTTTAGTGGCTTCCTCTCTCCTCAGATATCAACGAGTGTCTGCTGGACAGCCACAACTGCGTCTCCGGCCAAACCTGCATTAACACAGACGGCTCCTTCCGCTGTCAGAGGGAAACCGGCTGTGGTACTGGGTACGAGCTCAGAGATAACAACAGTTGCCAAGGTAACAAATCAGGACCACTGTGAGATGACATATTGAAAAGTAATTGCCTTGTGCTGAAATCCCTTCTAATCCTGCAAATATAAGTCTCCTAAAATATGCAGAGTATTTGTTCAAGTACACTGGGTTTTTAAGATGTCATCATCGTGTCCCAGATATTGATGAGTGTGCTTTGGGGACCCACAACTGCGGACAAAACTTTACTTGCACCAACACAGCCGGCTCGTTCCGCTGCCGACCGAGTGAGACGTGCACTGAAGGGTTCATCCAGGACGCCATCGGCCGCTGTATCGGTGAGTTTGGTGTCACTGTCTTGAGTAAAAACATTCCACAGGTTTGCTGAGTTTGTTGCGTTTGTCCTCTCAGATGTAAATGAGTGTGTGGCCAACACCGGTCCATGCCTGCCCGGACACACTTGCATCAACACAGACGGCTCCTTCACCTGTCGCAGGAACACAGTCAGCTGTGCAAGAGGCTATCATCTGAATGAGGACGGCACTCGCTGTGAAGGTAGAAACTAGATCATTCCCCATTAGATATCTAGATTCTACACTGTGGCGGCTCATCATGTCCTACTTTGTCCTACTTTGTCCTACTTTGTCCTACTCTGTCCTACTTTGTCCTACCACAGTTTGAACCAACATTTTTTTTACACTTCCAATTATAACATAAGAGATTTCCAACTTTTTTGCTCTGTTTCTCGCTGTGTGCAGCGTTATTTGCTGTCCACAAAGTTGTTACTGTCCACGCACACAATCAGGCTGCAGTTTCAGCTTTCACTTCCTCCCTTTTTTTTAAAAAGAAGGCAAAATACCAGAGATGTGGGTGCTGCCATCTTTTGACATGATATGATATGAGTCTGCTAGAGATCGGTGATGGAGCCGCGGTATCAACATCCCACAGATACATGCGTTCAACCGATGTCAAGTCAGTGTCTGCTGCCAATCATGATGGTTCACCCTGATTTTACAGCGTCAAAAAACAAATTGAATAATACATTTGGGGAGCTGTCACGTCGTCCATCTTTATGTACAGTCTATGGATCTAACTATATATAACTCACATTAATCTCCACGTTTTATACTGACGAGGAGACGTTACTTCCCTTCATCCGTCTCTCTCCCACTCGCTGGCCTCTTTCCTCACAGATGTAGACGAGTGTCATACAGGAAATGTGTGTGGCATCCACGGCTGTGTGAACCTCGTGGGATCGTACCGCTGTGAGTGCAGAATTGGCTTCGTCTTCAACAGCATCACCAAACTGTGTGAAGGTACCGTGTTTACCTTTTTGTTCATTTGTATTTTCTCATCGACAATGCTTCAGATCGGTAATTCACGACCTCTCCTCCGTGCGCTTTAGATATCAACGAGTGCATGCACTATCCTGGACGACTCTGTGCCCACAAGTGTAAGAACACAGAGGGGTCCTACCTGTGCAGCTGCACCACGGGCTTCAGGCTCTCCCATGACAACAGCAACTGTGAAGGTAAACTGACTTAAATCCCTTCTGAGCCTCGTTAACTGGATACATCCGATTAGGTGTGATAATGTGAAATCTCTTCAACAACAGGCTGCACAGACATTTCATTCTTACGCAGGGTAGGGACGTCAGTGATTGGACGTAGTGTGAAACCCATTTGGAAGCAGACGTTTTCACGTACAAGTTGTAATGAAACTTCTCGTACCTTTGCCTCTTATGCCGACAGATGTGAACGAGTGTGAGGCTAACCCCTGTAGCCAGGAGTGCTCCAATGTGTATGGCTCCTACCAGTGCTACTGTCGCCATGGTTACCAGCTGAGCGACATCAACGGGATAACATGTGACGGTTTGTTTTTATGGTTTTTTATTGGCTGTTCGTTCATGTGGAGGGGAAGGAAATGGTTTTCTTTTATTGTAGGAAACCTTATATTAAGAACCCGACCCCTGAAGCCCCACACAAACACACTGACCAACCCCTACCCCCCCATCCCAGACACACACGCTACGGACTGAGAAATGTTGATTCCCACCACCTGCACTCCTGAATTATTTCACTGAATATTGTGAATTCATATCACCTGCACTACTGTTTATACTGTACACTGTACATACACTGTATATAACCTGTATATTGTGTCAATAGCAATATCTGGTA